GCGACCCCTGAAGAATACCGTCTCCCTGGATGCTGCTTGCGGCCCCTAGTGGGGCCGGGCCATTGTGGCCAAAGAAAGCCTTGAACACGGAGCTGTCCTGCCAGCTCGTGATCAAGGCCTCCTGCTGGTTGGAATCCTTGATGGACGCGACGATCGATTTGCCGGCACCGCCGCGCAGATGGCCCTCGATGAGCGCATCCAGGCCAGGGATGGCAGCTAGGACGGCGCCCCAGGCCGCGGCACTCTCTTTGTACGTGTTGAGGGCGGTGCGGTAGCCCTTCTGCGGGCCCCGGCGCTTCGTAGGGCGCAGGTACAGACACGGCTTGTTGTGCTTTTGGCAGACGCTGCACTTTGGCTTGCCGTTGTCGCACGGCTGGTGGTTGACGTGGCAGAAATCACAACTAAAAGAGAGAGGAAAGAAAAAGCTCTCTCCCCGGGTAGGTGGGAGAGAGGGAGGTATAACTTGTTGAGCAAAACAGAGCCAACCGGAGGAGTAGTGTTACGGGGTACAAAACGGGTAATCACTTACGCCCGGGAGGCCTTCTTCCTCTTGCGAGGATTCACCGGTGGCTCGCTTCCAGCGTCAGCGCCGGCATCGCTGACGGGCGGCGGCGGAGGAGGGACGGAGGAGGAGGTAGACACGGGGGCGGCGGCTGATGCTGACTCGGGCCCGGAGGGTTGCGGCACGAATTCGACGCCGTTTCCCGGTTGCTGCTCTTTGGCACTGGAAAGAGGCATCGGGACGCCTCAATTAAACTTGGCGGCCCCGTTGTATCGTCGCAAATAGACGCAATAAGGTTTAGTGCTACGCTTGTGCCTGTGATATCATCGAGTCAGGCTGGTCCCCGAGAAATAGAATTGACTGGTGGTCGATAAGGATTACTGTACCCGTAATCAGCGTTCGGGTGAGGTTTGGTGGGAGAACCGCATGGGCCCGAACGCGGGGGTCGCGCTAAAATTAGTGGAAGGCTGGAAGCGCATCCCCGCTAACCGGGGGGAACGGCACCATCCATTTCACGGACTTTGGGTTCCGGGAATGTCACGGCCTGCAGTTGTGCAGTTGTTTCTTTTCGGAAACCCGGTACACGATGGTTCCCCCCCATGCCGGACGATCATCGACGATCCCGACTGCCCTGGCCGGTGGTCGGATTCACGTGTCCGGAGTATTCTGCACCATGCTTGACGGAGTATAACTTGATGGTCAGGCTGATTTACGAAATCTCATTCCATTACTGGGACTAAGGCCAATGTCTTTGACGTGATATCAACCCATGTTGCAGCGTGACTACGGGCCCCTCTGGAATCATGGAATAAGGCGTGGATAAAGGCTTCGGGAGACCGGCGAAAGCCTCTCCGCCTCTGGACTGCCGTCGGGTCGCACAAGGCGCCGTCTCCCGCTGCTGTGGTTGTGAGTGGGGTACGGAATACTGTACTGTGTACAGTACAACCTTAAGGTACCGTACTGCAGGGTCTACATTTTCCCGCCGCGCCAGTCCCGACCCATCTACCGACAAATCCACAGAGGGATACGGATAGGTGTGTCGCCCAAGGTACCTAGAGTTGACCGCCGAATCAGCCCAGGCTATCTTGATCTAATGCGTACTTGGATTTGGGCTGGGAACACGACATGCCATTTATCTTGATGTTAAGAGATTCGCTTCGAAGCTGGGATTGGAGATTGGGCGGCGCAAGTTGAGTTGAATAAACCCTCACCTGGCAACCTCAACCACTGGCGAAAGACGAAAGACGTTCACAGCTAAAATCGTAATTCCAAAGTTGACAGTGGAGAGAGAATCCACCACGGATAGCACTCAGCGCATTGGAGATCCGCTGTCGTCTCGAGGTGTCCGTACCGTCGGCCAAATTCCGACAGCGCGGCGCGCAAGCAACCCTGAGGCTACCGCGCCAGAAAGCACGACGGTATAGGCGCCTCGTGCTCATAACCCGGTGGCAGCCATGTCAGCCCCCAAGAACGAACGCGTCTTTGAGCACAATGCATCCATTGTGCTCGTCGGCTGTCGTGGCGCCGGGAAGCGCACCCTCGGGTTTATCGGTGCCCTGCACCTAGGTCGCCGCCTAGTCACCGAGGACCACTATTTCGAGAAAGTTACCGGCCTGTCACGGGGCGAGTACCTCTCACGCAACGGCAAAGAGCGCTTTGCACGCCAGAATAGCGACGTCTTCAAGCGCATGCTCGACAGCAACAGGCACGGATGCGTCATTGAGTGCGGCATGGGTAGTCTCGCCGACGAGGCCCTTTTTTTTCTCCGCGCATACTCCCTGAGGAATCCCGTGGTATACGTGCACCGGGAGAAGGAGCAGATATTACTGCTCCTCGACGCTGTCGACGCGGAACAGCTCCTGAGGGCCGACGAAAAGCACAAGACCTGCTCCAACTTCGAGTATTACAATCTCTACGATGATTCAAACCCCGGAAAACTGCCAAATTCAGGCCCAGGCACCCCAATGGATGGCCGCCAGGGCGGCGCCTCCAAGCTTCTCAACGTCCGGGAAGACTTTACCACATTTCTCGACCTCATCACCGGTCGGGGCGCCACCCGCGCTTGGCTCGAGAGCCCCTTTTCAGTCAAGGCGATTCCTCCAGAGTATCGATCCCAGTCGTATGCCCTTCGGTTGCGTCTCTCGTACCTTTTAGAGATGGATCTGGAGTGGGAAGACTTCGAAGCGAGAGGAGACTGCATAGAACTGATCATTGACCGCTGGCCAGACGACATGTTGAATATTGTGGCAAGACAAGTCGCGCTAATAAGGAGGAAATTAGGACTTCCCATCATCTTTCATGCTGAAGAGACTCCCCGTGGAGAGCGAAGGAGATCGCCCGAAGAAAAAGATGCTATGGATTATGAGCTCCTGGAATTAGGTCTCCGCCTCGGCGTAGAATACATCAGTTTAGACCTGCAGCGGGATGAGAAGTTAGTGAACCGTGTGCTTGCGCACAGGGGAAGGTCGAGGGTTATCGGCAACTTCTGGTACCCAAGCATGGGTGCCTTGCCGTGGCTCGACGACAGGCAGATCGGCAACTACAAGAGGGCCAAGGCGCTCGGCTGCGACGTAGTGCGGATCGTGCGGTTTTGCGCTGGCGACAGTGATCCTGACGTTCTCGAGCACTTCAAGAGGAAGGTGGACGAGGCGGTGCCTGACCCAAAACCACCACTCGTGGCCTACGACTTTTCGGTGCTGGGTGTCCGGACGCCATTCCAGACCAACATCCTGGGCCCGGTGAAACACCCAGACGTGCATAACGGCAGGGACCCTCTGACCACCATCTGCGCCGCCAACAACGCCATCGATATGCTCTTTCGCCAGTTCCTCCTCGAACCTCTCCAGTTCTACGTTCTCGGCTCCAACGTCTCCTACTCGCTGTCGCCCGCCATGCAGACGGCCGCGTACGAGTTCTCGGGGATGCCACACAGCTTCCGGGCCGTCACCTGCTCGACGCAGAACGGCCTGAACCAGATCTGCCTCAGCGACACGTTCGGCGGGGCCTGTCTCACGGCGCCTTTCAAGGTGGCCATCATGCCCCATCTCAAGGTCAAGAGCCACCACGCGACCGCCATCGGCGCCGTTAACGTGCTGCTGCCCCTGCGCGGGCAGAATGGCACCATCCTCGACCACGCCAACTCCCGGAACAAGGGAGGCCCCGCGCAGGACTTTTTCGGCGACAACACAGACTGGAGCTCGATACTGACGTGTCTGCGGCGGGCCATCAGCCCTCGCAACTTTGTTCAGCCTTCGCGAACGACGGGACTTGTCGTCGGCGCCGGTGGAATGGCTAGAGCAGCCATATATGCGCTGATCCAGCTGGGCTGCCGCAACATATTCATCTACAACCGGACGACCCAGAATGCTATCGAGGTGGCTAGGCATTTCAATGAGTGGGCGGCCGCTCAGGGGATCATCACAGGCGGTAGTAGTAGCGGCGGCAACAACGGAAGCCAGGCCAGCACTACTCCCCCGCTGGGCTCAGCGCCGCTGGTGACAGAAATCTGCCGCGTCATACCGTCGCTGGCGCACCCGTGGCCGGCGGGATATCAGCTACCGACCATGGTAATCTCATGTGTTCCAGCCACCGCCGTCGACGGGAACCCGCCGGCCGATTTCGAGATGCCGCAGGACTGGCTAAGGAGCCCCACTGGGGGTGTTGTGGTTGAGGTGAGAATTTTCACCCCGTTTTTTTTTCGTTTCAATTATCGAGTTCTTCCGTACCGGTTGATATGGAAGGGAGGTGGAAAATGGATGGTTTTGCTAACAGACAGAAAAAGCTGGCATATGAACCCCTCATCACCCCTCTAGTTGCCCAGATGCAGGCCTTCCGGAGCCACAGCAACAACGGCGAGCGCTCGCCCTCGTGGACTACGGTTGACGGGCTAGAGGTCGTCGGGGAGATGGCCATCGAGGCCTTTGAACTCATGACGGGCCGCCCGGCGCCCAAGCGGCTGATGAAGGAGGTAGGGCGGAAGACGTGGGAACAGCAGCAGCAGCGGGGATACATGCCTACTTCCTACTATGATCTTTTGCAGTAGAGCGCGTTTGGATGGATGGATGGATGGAGTTGTGATTGGAAATAATGTGTGCCTTTCGGCCCTGTGGGTGACTTTTTTCTGTGTTGCTTTCTTTTCCTCGCGGGGACAAAAGATGATACCTAACTATCCTGAATACGAAATCATGATTAGTCAGTTAGCTTTATATACCATTTCTTCTATGTAGTAACTGCTTGATTTTTTGGAGGTTAATTTTTCCAGTGATCGATACGAACACACTTTAGGTATTCGAAGTTCATCTAAGCGAGACCTCCGAAGACCAAAGAAGATGGCGTTGGGAGTAATACATATATATACATGAATACCTAGGTGTCTATGCCGAGAGATCACAGGCACCGGTTACGTGAAGAGGAAGAAAGAAAGCAGAATAAAAGATTTGTTTAGAATATGATTAAAAAAGTAAAGTGTTTTCATCCTGAGATGAGGACAACGTAGTTGTGACAAGAGTGGGATTCGAACCCACGCCCTTTCGGACTGCGAAACTCAGAGTTTATCCTGAACACAGCGCCTTAGACCGCTCGGCCATCTTGCCTTCTTTGATTTGATGGGAACGATCTGTTGTTGTGGATATCATGAAACTATGTCGCGAGTGGAGTCGTGGTGGTGGGATTTCTAATACCGGGCGGTAAGTCGTTTTGGCTGTGGAGAATGAAAAGTGGAAAAAGAGTTTGATATCTTCGTAGGTTGATGTGGATTCGTCTAAGGGGGATGTTTGTATAACTTCTGGGAAAAGATTATACTAGGATACTGTATAATGAGAACAGAAGTACCTAGTTATACGGGGAAGAGGAACAGTCTTACAAGACCTGATTGAACCTATGAAATCACGCGATTTGAATGTATTAGATATACAGGTGATGATTGTTAAGTTTCAAGTAGAAGGACATACAATGTGTGCTCGTATCCTATAAATCAACCCCCTTTCCATGGTTGTTATGTCCGATCACCCAAGGTAAACACTTAAGCTTATGATGCACCATGATCACCGTCATGAATTACCTAACACCTTGTTGCGTTAAAAGATTATTTCACAACCTGTCGACACCTTTACCTCAGCCAACTGAATGTTGACCTGTATTTTAAACCATAACCCTACAGGTATACGAAGGGGAAGTTGTACAGCATGACTTCACTTGTGAGATCCAAGTAAGGAATACATTCGCACATATAAATACTACCTACGTGAGTAGGTAGGTACCTGGTAGAGACCTTATGCATGGCTCCCTCGATTGATATACATAAAGATATGTACCTGACCATGAAAATTATCTTCAGGTATTATATCAGTGTCTTCATGCCTAGATCAACTGAATGCAGCCGATGAGCAAGCCGAGTACCGTTGCTAACAACATCAATTCCCAGTCCAAAGCTGGGATTCTGTGTGTGAGAGGGACAGTGTGGTTTACCACCATGTATGCGGGTGTGCCCGGTATCCTACGTCAACCAGTCCGTCCCTCCAATCGCCATATTCCTGATGCGAAATTAAAGATATAGACATCCAACCAATAGTGACGAACGAAAGCCCGCAGGTAAGGAAGTAGGGACAGGAGAAGAGACAGGCGGAAAATGCGAACCTGTCTCGTATGTACAATCCAACCCCGAACTGCCCTGAATATAATGGAAAAGGCACCGACATCTCGCACCCAAGATAGGAAACCAGACCCTCTCCACCTGAAACATGCTGATGCAAAGCCCGAACCCATAATGGGTATGTGTAAGAACGCCGACGTCGCCTAAGGTCAAAAGACAACCTGTCCCATGATATTCAGGGACAAGGGAAAATAAGAAAATCGCTATCAAAAAGCCATCGACCAGTTGGGTCGTTAGAGTTAAACCAGCTCGAACCCCTCGTCCTCGATAGTGCTACCCTCGGGAGCCATCAAAGTCCCGGGATCAGTACCGTTCTTGCGGAGATGGCGACGGGCCTTGCGGCCCTTGAGCGGCTCGCCATTGGCATCGAGGATCTCGTACTCCTTCTCAACGAGGCGCTCCGTCTCGCGGCCCGTTGTCTTGACGAAGATGTCGAGCGTCAGCGGGCGACCAGGCGAATCGGTCCGGTCGAAGCTGTACAGGATGTTGTCCGAGATGCTCATGCCGCGTCCAATGGGCGACGAGGGTGATGGGAGCTCTGCGAGCGAGCGGCTTGTGGCTGCATCCTTGATCTCCGTTTGCGCGTGGATCTTGTTACGTACGCGACCAAAGGGCATGTCCCAGTTGCCACGGGCCTTGACGATGTTGTGCTCGTCCTTGGGCATTCTTGAGCATTCATCGCTCCACTTCTTCTGCGGCCGGGATTTGGCCTGCTGGGTCTCAGTGCCAGAAGTGAACTCTCCCATGAAGTTCTGACGAACGCCGGCTCCAGGCCGGGCGCCACGGGACCACTTCACCGTAGCGCTCTTTGAACGCCTCCACTCCGTGTTGGCTCGACGGAAATCACGCTCGTACTCGACGGGAGACATGTCGGATGCCATGGCGACGGTGTTGTGGTCGGGTAGACGGTTGAGCTTATGTATCCGGGAGTTTTGAACTCCGGGGAGCCGGTGCAAGGTCTATTGCCTTATTTCGGAAAGCAGAAAGCTCCAAGCTGAGCTGGAAAAGAATTTAGGTAGGTTGGTTATGTGAAGTATGCTGAGGTGCTTGATATCGATGCGCAGTAAAGATAGTTGCGTCGTATCAGTTGGCGTGTGGTTTGTTCCTTAGGTCGAGGGAGTGGAGGCAAAAGAGGAGTTTCAGAGGTATGCCTTAAAAGAGATGCAAATTAGGTGCAGTTTTGGAATGATCAGAATGGTTGAGTCACTCCGGGGAGCTCCTGCTTCGGGTGCTTGGATACGGGCGGTTGCCGGAAATATTACAGGATGCGCAACAGAAAGAAAGGTGATGAGTAGTGTTTCACTGAAAGACCTCAGAGTCTATGGCCCTAGGCTGCACTTTCGTGACAAAGCCGCTCACTAACGGGCAGATTGGCCGTGTGAGTCAAAGGAGGTGATTCGGATCGAGGGACCGACGGGTATGAATAAACACGGCGCGACCGATAACGATAGGTAGCGATAAGCAATCCAATGCCGAGCTGGGGGATGGTGGAGGGGCAGCAGCTAATTCCGTAGTCCGGGTAATTAAGAGACAATGCAGAACAGACAAACAAACAAATATGATGTGAGCTGATGTTTACGATATCCTGGTGTATTGGCTTTTGAGAAATGGCAGGAAAAAAAACCAGATCGAAGGAGAGGAAGGAAGAGGGAGACACGTTGGGAGCTGTCTCCGTTATATCAGGGGTTCACGTTCACAATCAGGGCGGGAAGGCACGAGGAGAACCCTGATGGGTGGGCTTGCAGTGGTTATCGGTCATCGATCCCCTTTGGCTGTCAGCCATCAGCCATCAGGGTGCCGTTCTATTATCGCGTTCTTTGGGGGGGGGGTGTGAACGCCCATGCCGGATAACAATGGAAAGTTTGGGGGGTGAGCGCGTAGAGGGGGGTGTGGGGGTGTGCGCATGACGAAGTGACGACAGTGAAAACAGTCGGTGCAGCACGGAATCCATCAAAGAAAGACAACATTGAAAGCAAAGGAGGAACAAAGAAGGACCAACAACACCAGGCATCATCATGTCCAGCCCTGCGCCAGTGCCAGGCCAGTTGCCAGGCCCGGCCAGGGTTCGTGGCGCAAGCGGGTGGCCTCCAACTCCAACTCGAATCTCTGACTCCTGCACTATTCTTGGTTCCAACTGACCTTGGGGCAGGTTTCAAAAAGGTGGCTCATCGCGGATACCTTGGCTGCCCGGCCTGAGCAGTATTGATTATGAACCAGGGACTCAGGTTAGTTGCCAGTTGCACCCAAATAATGATGAAGTCAGCGAGACAATTACCCAAGCCATTTGCCCGGTTTCTTGTCTGCAATACATCCTGACTTGAGCGTGTCGCTCTTGATGCTGTCTCGGATTCTGCCGAACACTGTGCCTCCATCATGGACAGGCACTGGAAATCGAAAGCGTTGCATGAGGCGGTCATCCATTGTGGTCTATGAGTCGTGCATCTGTATTGCGCTCAAGAATCCGAATGCAGAAAAGGCCATGAGGCGACAAACTCGCGCTCGATCGAGCTTCATATTGTCTGGGTACAGATCCGTTTGCAAGATGACAAACCCCCATCCACAGATGTCTCAAACTCGGGCTTTGTTATACACGTACTGTGCAAGTGAAGCTCGTGTATGTGAATATGACAGGCAGCATCCATCTGCCGTCGTTCAACTCATGGTAGCTAGCATGTGCAAGTCTTGATTGGAGATTGGAGGTCGCCCCGACTCTGCATCGACGGGAACATGCAGTGGTCCGTGGACACCTCTATCTTGTTTGGTAGTATCGTGTCTCCGCGTCTTTGCTGCATAACATTAACCCCAGGTTCTTCCCAAACTTCCCTAGTCTTGATTACAGGCTGATTGTATTCCCAACTCCAGACCGTGAGTCTGATCTGGAGTCCGGACTGGACAGGTGACAACCGACAGCCTCGAATCCGATCCATAGCTAAAACCACGTGCGTCAGTCTTCCTCACCCGCACTTGCTCCGCCCCGGGCCACAAATCGCTCGGGCGAAGCTTGATCCCGACAGAGCCCGAGGACTGTGTGCGATTCATTTGATCCATTCCATCATCCAGAGTCTAATGACCCGATCCAATGTGCTTGAATGCACCTGAATGTCCAACAAGGTCTTTGCTTGGGTCTGGCCTCAGGGAAGCCGAGGTTGGTCCAGCAGGGATGGTTGCATACGTCGATAAGGCGATAAGCTCTCGTCTCAGGACGCCCAGGGGTGACTGCAACGTCATTGGTCCCCCCATCCCATCAACTCCCCTCTGAGCTCGTCTGAGCTCTTGCAGCTATATTAATCAATTTTATCGCAGCATCTCGATAAGACTCATCTCCTATCCAGTACTTAAGCGCATGCGTAATTTTTGAGGATAGGGACTTCTTCCCGGTCGCCGGTCCGAGGCGAGCGTCTTCTTCTGTCAAGTCAGTTATCAGACGCTGAAATAGGCGCTGAGCTCAAGCGTTGTTGGTGTTGGGTGCCTTCCTCAGACCTGAGGGTGAGTGAGCTAAGGAACACGGGGGCTGGTCCGGTGACACCGTTCGTCATGCCAAAGTCACAACCTGGCACCCGTCCGGACCAGACAAGCTCAAGAAGCATATTCCAAGATCATGTGCTGGCTGACTTGACGGGGGCTGCTTCCATGGTAGGCTGTCAGTTTTTGACGTCGAGGGTTACCGGTTATGTCGTGATAATAAGACAGACATTGTCCTATCACCATCCGAGGAGTGAGGACCTATCCCAGAAACAGCCATTCGTTACTTAACTTTTACATACGTGAGACCAACAAGATTGAACGACCTCCACTCTCATCATTTCATACTGGTGCACATCATCAAATCCACCATCCCTACACCCCTAGCAGCCCACGTTTTCGGGATGCGGCAAGTGCTAGGATTTTGAGCATGTGCATGTTTGCACGTGTACGGATTAGAGCTGGAGAATTGGGACCAAA